TCTCAAGTCATATTTTTAATTGTTCAGACAGTATAAAATATACTGCAAGAAAAACTAATTTCCTGCTTATTATCTAATGATAATTGAAACACAATAATTCATTATAATACTAGGGAATTGCTGTATGCAGAGTGGCATGTCTAAAAGAAAAAGGTGATGGGTATAACAAGAAAAAATATTTATAGTTTGCTAAAATAAAATTAGAAAAAAGTTGAGGATAATTGCTGACTATAAAATGTAAATGTTCATGGAACACAAGAATATGAATTATTTTTAAATAATATGAATTCCAGGAAGGCTATCATTTCAGATTTAAAAATAAAGTTGTATAATCTAGTAAGGAATCTGAAAAATATCTACAAGAATGAATTTTGACATTTTCATGTAATTACTCAATATTTACTTTCTTTCCAATGCCCTATTTCAAAATGATTATGTACAGGCACATACATATAAACTTATGATTATATGATTATATATGTATAATGTACACTTATAATTACATATATGTTTATTTTATGCAGGTATAGATTTGAGATGATAATGCTCACATATATGCATATATTGAATATTTTTATTCAGGAATAAATCATGTAATATCAAAAATAGAGACTAGGTTGAATACTTAGAAAACTATTTTTAACTGCTTGGATAAATTTATAGATTATCAAAATTTGGAAGTAAAGTATTTTGTACCCTATAACCAAGGGAAGTCTCTTCCTGCATGAATTTTCCAGTTAATGAAAGAAGTGTTTAAATACTCTGTAGTTAGATTATTAACTTCTACAAAGCTGAAACAGATGTGTGTCTTAATATACCATTAAATTTATGATATACATAGAACCCTCACATAGAGCTGAGCAGAGGCCAATGATTCTAATTTGCTCTAGATTTATAATAACCTGATCTGGTTTTTGTAAGTACTGCAACACTTTAAACAAAATTAGAAAGCAGTTGTGCTTTGTGTGATTAAAGATGCAATTCCCTTTGGGGTAATGAGAAAAGTTAGAACATGTTTCTTTCTTTATGGATGTTTCTATCATAAACAAAAAGTGCCATACATTATATATTTTTGTTACTATGATTTCCTTGTTTTTAATTACAAAATAAACCAATTGAATTTCAGCAGAGTCTCAAATTGAAACTATGCCAAAATTTAGCTGAAGAATGTGTACTGAGCTTCATAAAAATCTTTAAAATTTTTCCCAGGGTCTTAAGGTCTCGTTATACAAATGCTAGTTCACAATCATTTTGTACAACAAAACATCTTTCTGGTCCAAATCTACGCAGTAGAAAATCTTGAGTGCCAAATACATTTCAAAACCTAGGAAATGATGTGAATAAAAGTGTTCAAGAATAGTGACTACTGGATTCATATGTTACAATTTTTTTTCTCATTATAAAAATAATAACATTTAGAGCACATTAATTAAAACTTGGGTTCTATTTGGTGAATTATTATACATCAGCTCCTAAACACAAATCATTTTAAATACTTTAATTCAAATACTATTACTATTGTTTTCTTTAGAAAGTCAGAAAATGTTGGTCTAAATATAATTGTAAACATATATGTGCATATTTATGTATACAGAAAATAAGTATACACAAAAGTATTAATTCATTAAAAGTTTATCTCTTATAAAACCTTTATTAGCCCTTGAAGTCTTTGCCACTTCATATAAAATGATTTATCTTTTGAATAACAAGGTTCCATTAATCTGTTTGACAAAGGAATTTTTAAATCACTTAAATAATTTATTTGAATGAATTATTTAAATTCTGTAAAATATATATATGCACATGTAAATGTATATATCTGTGTCTATATATTTGTGGTCTAGCACAGTATCACAAAAGAAATACAAAAGAGAATTCAGAATACATTGTCCTTGATAGCAGCAGTATAACTTGGTGTTACTGCCCATGTGTTCTCTGATCACCCACTGTTTGCATAGGACCCCTGTTAGAAGGCTATTTATGCTCCATTTGGCAGACAGAGTGATTTAATGTCAGAGAAACTTGCACATTGTTTTCTATATGCATTTTTAACTTTGCATTTTTACTGAAATTGTAGGCTGACAGTTTTCAAAATGTAAAAATAATAAAGACAATTATTCATCAGAGATCGAAATCTTGCTTTCCTCAATCTAGTGCTGTGAGTGCTAATGGAAAGTGGTAAACATACTCCTTCCCAGAGAAATAAATCATCTGTGGATAAAGAGGGCAAATATTTATAAAAAAAAAAAAGAAATAAGGATATACATATACATATAAAATTATGAAGAAATACACAAAACTAATTAGGACATAAAGATAAAAAATTCCCTCAAATAGAACTTATTCTTGTTATTCTTCCTCTGAAGATGTATTTTTACTCATAAAAGTAATGAAAATGATTGAATAATTCTTCAACTATGGTGAGGTTATAGAATAAATATGTGACAGGTTCTTGTCAATTTATTTTTAAATGTGCAAGAAAATTAACTTTCATTTAAGTATCTCAGTCACTGAACATAATGATATGTATCTGTTCTTTTGTCCTGCTAGTCTCTTTTTTGAGGGGAGACTTTATCCGGTTTTCTTCCCTGTGTGTGTACTGGTCTCTTTATTGTGTTAGGTTTTGTTGGGTTTATTCAGTTTTTATTTCAGTTTTGCAACTGATCCTTTTGACAAATTCCTTTAATTTACCAGAAAGTTCCTAATTTTACATATAAAAATCCCCATATTTGTGGCATTTAGTAAATTTGGAAGCTGCCCTCTTCTCTAGTCCTTTTTTCATCTAACAATTCCATAAACCCAGCTGTAAGATTTTTTTTACTTATTACCCTTGACACTTAAATTTTAGGAGGGAGGCATAAGAAACCCTCTGCATTTTAACACAACTTTAAAAAACCCTGATCTATCCTAGTAGAGTCATTTTTTTTTTATAACAGGTAATCAACCCAGGGGTACTTAGACTCTGAGCCACAGTCTGTTTTTTATGTTTTATTTTGAGACAGGGTCTCGCTAAGGCTGGCTTTGAACTTGCAATCTTCATGCATCAGCCTCTTGAATGGCCAGGATTACTGGCATAAGCCAGCTCTTTTGGTGAGTCATGGCCTTTTTAGGAAACAACAGTCTTTTCTTTTTTTTTTCCTTGCAGTACTGGGGATTGAACCCAGCGGTGCTCTGTCACTGAGCTATATTCTCAACCCTTTTTATTTTTTTATTTTTTGAGACTAAGTTGCCCTAGCTGGCCTAGAACTTGGGATTCTCCTGCCCCCACTTCCTGAGTACTTAAGATCACAGGTCTGCACTACCACAACACTAGGCAACAAGTCAGTAAAAGCTCATTTTTTTTTTTAAGTCTCAATTTTTACGTTTGGAGGGAAAAAAAATAAACTACTAAAACATCTGCTAGGCAAGCACTTGCTCTACCATCAGTCCACATTCTTGGAACTAGGAAAGGCTATCTACTTTGTATGACACGACAAGTAGCAGTATTGGATATTATTCAGAATGGCAATGTACCAATCACACTGAGGTAATTTTGAAACCCTCTACCTATTCTCAAAAGCTTTTTGGAGAATAGTGGTCTTTTCAGTGCCTAGCTATAGTTGGCTAATAGAAAGTATTTATGAAATAAATAAATTAGAACCCTATAATCATGAATATCATTAAAATATTTAACTCAATATTAAGGCTACTTCTTGTGCAAATATTATATAGCACTGCCTTTTGTTTTGGTACTGGGGATTGAACTCAGAGGCACAATCTCAGCCCTATTCTGTATTTTACTTAGAGAAAGAGTCTCACTGAGTTGCTTAGCACCTCACTTTTTTTGAGTCTGATTTTGAACTCGAGATCCTCCTGTCTCAGCTTCCCAAGCTGCTGGGATTACAAAGTTTTTACGTGTGTTTCTTTTAGGTAAACAGAAGCACATATGGAGGCAATTAGCTGAAGGACTTTCTAGTTTTTACTGTTAATTATTTTACTGAGTGTATGTGTGTGTGTATTTGGGCACAGGTGAAAATATCTCAAGGAAGGCAAGAAGTTAAAGCATTTCTGTTAGTGAATTTGGAAAAGTGGAAATGTCAGCTGACCATTACATTTTACCTGGGTCAGCCCTTCTCCCCTGTACCCTTTCTGTCCCAACAATTTAAACAAGGTAAAGATAAATCCAGGGAACCTCAAAAATTAAATTCCATGAGACTTTTTCAAGGGTTATGTTTTGCACCCTAACATTTTGGATTTAAGGCAAAACATCTTTGATGAATATGCATTATGCAAAAAGTACCATATTTCTTTCTTAGCTCACTTATGACTCACTGAGCTCTCAAAGCCCGAAACCCTACCTCCAGGAGCCAAAAAACATTTTAACCAATTTTGTCCTGCCAAATTCCAGAAAATTATATTAATGTTATCTTAAAGAGTAAATTAATTAATAGGAATTTCCAAGGAAGGAGATGTTCTGATTTTCTGCTGACACTTTAAATGTATTTTTTGTTGTTGTTTATGTTTCAAAATCCCTAGTAATACATAATTCCTGAAAAAAGCCTTTGTGCTCACTGTAGTAACCTTATTGAAACTCTACTCTCCTTTAGTTAACAATTTAATGAAACTTTCATTTAAATGGTATTTTCTTAATTCTATTTGAGAATACATGAACACCACCTGCCTACCATTTTATTAAAGAATTATCTAGACAGCTTTCCTGTTAAAACTTTATTGGAAGAATGTGTTGTTAATTGTTGGGGTACAGCCCATTTAAAAGAAAAGCATCACAAATAACTTACTGTGTAGACTGGATATGAATGCCTATGATTGGTTCTGCTTCATTTATTCATTTAATTTATTTGTTTACTTAGTGACACTACTGAGGTTTGAACCCACGGGTGTTCTAACACTGAGCTACACTTTTAGCCCTTATGTTTTTTTTTTAATGAGGGGTCTCAATAAGTTGCCCAGATTGGCCTCAAATTTTCCATCCTCCTGCCTCAACATCCATAATACCTGGACTAACAGGGGTGTTCCTCTACCCCTGGCTGCTTCCCTAATAATAGGAAAGTTTCCTTCCTTCTTTTCTTAAACCTTTCCTCTTTCCTTCCTTTCTTTCCAGGGTTTGAACCCAAGGGCACTTTACTGAACTATATCCCAAACCTATTACTTATTTATTTATATATGAACAAGACCAAATAATCACTAAATTGTTGAGATTGGCCTCAAGCTTGCAATCCTCCTGCCTCAGCCTCCCCAGCACTGGGATTACAGGTATGTACCACTGTGCCTGTTTCTTTCTTTCTTTTTATTAAGCAAGGATCTTTTAAATGACAATAATAAAATTAAGCTTTTAATAGTCATAGTATTTATTTTTCAAAGATTTCATCTTGTTTACCTTTTCACTTTTTCTACCTAATATAAAAGATATACTCAGTTCTTAAATAATTACTTCGACCAATTGATTTACTCTGTTCATATTTTAAAATATGAAACATCTTTACTATTATTGTTAACTCTTAAAAGAATATATACTTTGAAAAGGGGAACTTCTGGGCTGGGAATATAGTTAGTTGGTAGAGGACTTGCCTTGCATGCACAAGGCCCTGGGTTTGAACCCCAGCACCACAGAAAAGTAGGGGGTATTTCTTGTCTTGATGCTTAATAAGCATCCCATAGGAAAATACCCAGTTGAATCTCTTTATAAATTCGCTTCTTACCTAAAATTCTACAGTTCCATTAGGTCCAGAATTTGGTAAATGCCATTTGAAGTCACTTTACTCTGCAAATGCTTTTAAAACACCACACTGAAGTGCTTGACACCTCCATACAAAGAAGTCACAGATGTTATTTTTAAAAAATATAAACTATATTGACGATTTATCTTTTTTTTTTCTCCCTTACCTTGAAAGAGGTCTGAAAATGACTGTATAAATAGTGTATAGTCACTTAACTTTGATTAATGCTAAATTTTAAATTTCTTTTTTTTTTCTTTTTTAGATAAATAACATAATTTCAAAGGTTATAATGTCGACCAGACTACCTCAGTTTAGATTTCAGCTCCATCATTTTCAAGCTATGTGTCTTTGAGCAAGTTAGGGAGTCTTATATTTAAATTAACTCTTTCTTTCCTCATTTATAAAAGAGGAGTAATAAATGCATATACCTTACAATGTCATTGTGAGGGTTATATGAATCAATACATATAGTGCCTGGCAAAAAATAATTATTCAAATATTTGCTATTATTTTGGTACTTTTAATAGCATAAAACAATTGAAAATTTTTTCAAAATGCCTAAAATCTTACAAGCTAATATGGAACAGTATTGACCATTCTAATTCAAATATATTTTAGCAAAGAATTTTCTTTTTTCCAGTGCTGGGGCTTGGCCCCAGAGCCTCATGCATGCTAAGCATGCACTCTACCACTAAGCCAAATTTCCTTTATCTTTGCTGAGAGCCACACCAAGAGAAGGGCTGTTACAAAATTGCCAGTACCCAGCAAAAACATGAGCTGATGATGAGACCAGAAAGGACTCACTAAATGGTGAAGCTGGTCAGTTACTTGTCACTCCATGCTTCCTGTCCTTCCCTGTTTTCTCCATCAAATAAGTTCATTCCAGTTTAACTTTTTTTTAAACTTTGACTATAAAGATGTCCTTCATGCTTAACTTGGTTGTACTACCTAATAAAAAACACTTCCAAAGGCTAATTCAACATTTTTTTTTTTTTAAGCTAAGTTACCTAAGGAATCCTACACATTCTTTTCCCAATGACTCATTCTGGCAAAGGTTCTTCCTAGGAAAGATAGCATCACAATGGCTTGGAGGAGAGGGGAGAAAAACCCAGATGGTTAAGGAACAGTGGTCTTCATTTCCACCATTAGTTCTAGGAATTAGCCTTTCCTTGTAAGGAAAGTAAGTCAGAGGAGAGAGACAATAGGCCCACTGGGTATAGCTAGGATATGTAACTAGTTAACAGCTTAGTTCAGGGAATATTTGGCATTAATTTAATTTTATTTTTTCAGTGCTAGAGATGGAATCCAGGGCCTTGAGCATACTAGGCAATCACTCTACCACTGAGCTTTTGTCCCCAGTCCTGACATTAATTTTTTAAATGTATATCCATTTTACTATAGACCAAAAAATGAATTTTGGCAGTAGAAATTATCCCCTCATTAATATAGTGTACAAATAAAACAATAAGCTTGACTTCTTTGTTACATGGAGTTAACTCTTCTTGGAGCTGCCATTTTGTGTTTTTACTGAATTTAATTCAAGAGGAAGAGGAGAGCAGGGTAGGGGATGAACATTAATCAAGTACCATCTATGTGTCAAATATGGTGAGGACATTTTAATATTACTTTATTTTAGGGCTGGCATTCAACTGGCGTGCACTGGCAGGGCTTTCTGGTAGTTTATGACCAGCATCTGTTCTGATCTATTGGTGCCCAAGCCCAAACATTTATACATTATTAAATATTTGAGTATTACCCCTACTTTAATCTTCAAAATAAACCTCCAGGGCTGGAGATGTAGCTCAGTTTTAGAGCGCTTGACTAGCATGCATGAAGCCTTGGATTCAATCTCCAGTATGGAGTTGGGGAGTGGGGGTTTACTCAAAATAACCCTCCAGGGAGATGGGAACACTGGGAGATGGAAGGAGAGACACCACTGGGACCCCTGCCTCTGACTCCACCTGCTCCTCCCCATCCTGCCTCCAGGAGGTATTTATTCTTCTCTGTGACAGTTTGGATCTAGAGCTGGGAGATCCCTTTGTTTTTAAACATTTCCTTCTGTGAAAGTGTCTAGGCTATGAGTATAAATTCTTCTGGATAGCACGTTTGATTTTTTAAAGTTATGTTTTTCAGCCCTGGCAGTGGTGTCTCTGGCAGCTGTGTGGCCCATAGGGAACCTGAGGAAGAGAAAAGTCAAGCCAGGTATGCTATGCCTGCATGCACCTGTTCCTGATTCATGCAGCCGCCTGGATCCAAGTTTTGAATCCTTGGCTACATACATTGGGAAACAGCAGGTGTGCATGTGGTAGCTAGATGCCTGTCCATTTACAACCAACCAGAAATGCTATCAGTCCCGTGGTAAATAAATAAAACGTGAGACAGAAAGGTTAACGTGCCTAACAGTAAAACAAGTATTGGAAGCTGAATCTTTCAGATTCCTTTTAGAGCCTACATTCTGTCCAGGTACATTTCTTGTTTCAACTTTCTCTTAGCTGAAAAACCTGTTTCTCTAAAAGCAATCTTACATAGCAGCCCAATATATTAATGAGAAACAACTATGTTGGCTCTGATTAAAGCAAAATACGGAGCAAGATTCACCCCCAGCTACATCCCCATCACTTCTGCAGCTCCTGCAGCCATCTTCACAAAACTCAATATTGGCTCTTAAGAGTAGAGTGGGGAAAAAACATTGACCTACAACGTGCTGCCACCCTCAGACCCACTCCACATTGTTCACCTTGGTAAATAATTCATTCAACAAACACACTGTGTAGCTATTGAATATGAGACTCGAGGAATACAAAGATAAATAAATACTGTCTGCCATCAAAAATCTCACAGAGAGAGGAGGAATAAAGAAAAAATAATAAGTAAAACAAAAACAACCACTGATTCTAATGCCTTTCTGTGTCAATTCTCACAACTGAAAGAGAAAGGGATGTTCTTCCTTTAACAGATGAGAAAACTAAAATCTGAAAGGTTAAGAGGATGTATTGTCATAGCAGCAAGGATTACCTCCCGGGTCTCAGGAATGCCAGAACCTATCCTTTTTCATCTGGAGGGTGGGGGGGCGGGGATACAGCCTGCAATTTGTTGTAAAACTACAACAAAGTAAGCACATTTCAACACAGATTAAAATTTAAAATGCACATCACTTAAATTAGAAGGAATAAAAATCCACAGAAAACTAAAATCATTAAATTATTATTATAATACTTTTCTTCTCTTCTCACAACAGCCCTGAGAGGTAGAAGGGCAGATATCATTATTTCCGTTTCATAAAAGTGGAAGTAAATCCCTGAACTACTCATGGAAAGTCACACCGTAGGGATGAAATTTTCTTGCCTAATGTGTGTGGGGGTGTGTGGGGGGGGCGGTGGGGGGGAGCTGTTGAGCAGTCACAATAAAATCCCTAACAAGCTTTGAGACCTTAAGCAAATGAAATATCATTTTTAGGCCACAATTTGCTCATGAGTAAAAGTATAATTCAATCAAATTTGATGATATTTAGACCAAGCCTGTTGGAAGGTAGGTGACTTGGCCTTGCTACTTAGAAGCTATGACCCTATATGTAAATCCAAGAACTTATGGTGGGAGAAACACTAGAGAAAAATCTAGAATAAAATAAGAAACACAGAGATGAAATAGCATTATGTGACTATGTTATAGACTTTCTGGCCAGAAGGAGAAAAAGAAGGATTCTTTTCTACTGCAGACCACAAAACTGACAAGGCAGCCACATATCTTAGTGTTAGGGATTTTAGTCTCCTAGTATCTGCAGAAACTTTCATTCCTCAGAAAGCAAAACACTGACAATTTCTTGACTGGCCTTGCTGATAATTTCATTTCCCAGAAGGCAGAGTAAGCATTAAGGGGAACTCCTGCTCAGGACCCAATTCTGACAGAAACCAGTAGGTAAAATGGAAATGATTGGAACCTTGGGGAAAAGCAACCATGCGCTCTTAGAGTTTGATTTAAGCAGTGTTCTGCCTATGCAAACACAAATGATTCTAATGAGCAAGAAAATGGGGAGGAAACTAAAGAAACCAGTGTGCTGCACAGGGACTCACTGACAGGCTCTGAATTTAAAACAGCATGCGCAAAAGATGGTAAAAGGGGACACATAATCAAGCATAAATATATGAAGGTAGCATTGATGTATAAAAATTCAGCAACACTAAAGCACAAAATGAACTGGGACTTGTGAAAGAGGCTAAAAAGAACCCAAAGTGCTTTTCCTTAGCATGAAATAAGAGGGAAGATCAATAAAGGAATAGGCCCATTTTTTTTGAACACATAAAATTCATTCATGAAAAAGAGAGCAAAGCCTCTTTATTCTTTTAGGTTTCTTCCCTGTTGACTCATTCATATCTCTGCTCACATGTCACTTCTTCAGAGATTGCCTTGACTGCCCTTTTAAAAATAGATCTTGGAGCTGGGGATGTTGCTCAGTGGTAGAGCACTCACCCCACATATGAGGGATCTATCCCCAGCACCACAGGAAAAAACAAAACAAAAAACAACTCACTGACCTCCAGACTTTTCTTTCTTTGTGGGGGAGGGGATTTACTGGAGGTCAAACCCACGAGTGGGTAGCTCTACATTCCCAGCCCTTTTTTGAGTTAAGTTCTTATTAAATTACCCATCTGGTCTTGAACTTGTGATCCTCTTGTGTTATAGCTTCCTGAGTCCCTGGGGTTACAGGCTTGAAGACTTTGCATATGCAATCACTGACTGCCATTATTTTACAGATGTAAGTATTTTCTCTCTTTTGCATTAGAATGTGGCAGGGACATTGATTTGTTCACTGCTGGATCTGTAGGACCCAATAAATATGTGTTGAATGAAGTCAAGACCATTAGATTTTGGCTAAACATGAAAAGACAAACAGATAAAAAGATATAGAGAAATTTATTGAGGACCTAGTAGGTATCAAACACTAAATATTTATACTCACTCAAGCTTTTAATCATCACAACACTATAAAAACATGCATTATTATAGGGTTGAATAATTTGCCCAGGACCACTCAACTACAAAAGTGTAGAGCTAGGACCTGAGCTAGGACCTATTTAGGTACAGGGTCAAGCACTTAACCTATACACTGTACTGGGAGAACCTAACTGGTCTAGGGGCAAATGTGTCTCTTGACTTCAGTGAATTATTACCAGGGACCTTCTAAATGATATTATGGAGTGTTTAACTGATTACCTTTTAAAAATGGGGTGGGGGGTTGGGGGAGGCTAGGACAGAAATGCCTTATATTAAGAAAATGGTAGAACCTGGAAACTTTAGATTCTTGAAATTGTCATTGCTTGGTGGGTGGGGCGTAGATAGCCTACATTATATTTATAAGAAGTTTGTGAACATTTTTGAAAAGTGGTTATTAGGAAAACATATAAGTTCAAAAAGGATAAGTAATTTAGCCCAATTTTATATATTCTCCTCTGTTAGAGTTAGCAAACCTGCATATCAGGGCAATGGAAATAGCAAGGCATTCAGTCTTCCTTTATATCTTTGTGAAGCAGATGGAGAAATGTAGGTTCCGGGATATATTATCATATTTTTGTAAGTGATTGAGTGATTGCCCCCAGTGGTGATGAACATATTTATCAATGCCTGGTGTGAACATATTTATCAATGAGTGAGATAAAGCTATAAGAAGGCATGACTTATTAAAAACAGGTTACATGAGAGAAGGAAGGCTTTGGATTATAAAATCAGGATGTAAAAATAATTAAAACATGGACAAAATCTAATAATATATAATTTGGTGGGAATATTTGTGAGATCCTGCCTTGGTACCCAAATACCAACAGCCCAAATTTGCTTTGAAAGATATGTGACTTAGCAGCAGGACTCAGGGAGAAAAATAAAGGAGATTTACTTGGCTATGAATCAACGGAAAAACATGGTTGCAAAAACAAACACCACCAAACAGGAATAGATTAGACTGCATTAATAAGTTTAGAATATAAATAAAATAATGGATCCAGCCATGGTGGTACACACCTGTAATCCCAGCCACTTGGGAGACTGAGGCAAGAGGATACAAGTTCAGGGCCAGCCTCAGCAACTTAGTGAAACCCTTAGCAACTTTGCAAATAAAAAAATCAAAAGGACTGGGGATGTAGCTCAATGGTAAAGCACTACTGTGCTCATGCCCCTGTACCAATAAATAAATAATAAGAAAAAAGAAGAAGAAAATAATGGAGAGGTCTGGGGATGTAGCTCTTGTGTAGTATTGCAGAGTGTTTTCAGAGCATGTGTGAGCCCTGGGTATGATCCCTAGTACCACAAAAAAAAAAAAAAAAAAAAAGAGAATATAATCTAATCCTGCTTTCAATTGTTTAGATTACCATCTAGGAGTAATATTTAAGGAAGATGTGAATGTAAAGTTTATAAGATTTCCAAGATATATAGCTTGAATGGTCTTATATTTGATAGTTATATCTGAATAGTATAAACATAAATTTAATCATTACTTAGAATTTACTATTTTCTAGACACTATGTTAACTATTTTACACTAGTCAATGTTAACACCAGCCCCAAGAAGTTCTAGGTTATTTTAATGTTATATGAGTAGAAAATTGAGACTGAGAGAGTTTAAATAATATAAATAAATAAATAAATAAATAAATACTAACAAATGATAATGCTTACATTTGAAGGGAGGTCTGTCTCCAGTACCTGCTCACTTATTCTCTATTATGAATTTCTCCTACTAAATAGAAAGAAATCATATTGTAATGTAGAGGCATATGTGTACATTTGTACATATGATGATAAAATCACATAAAATAATAGAATAAAAATAATATGCAAGAAAAAGACTAGAAATAGAAAACATTAAGAATAGGAGCTGGGTATGGTGGTACACAACTGTAATCCCAGCAGCTCCAGAGGCTGAAGCAGGAGGATTGACATTGTTGAGGCACTAAGCAACTCAGTGAGACCCTGTCTCTAAATAAAATACAAAAAAAGGGCTGGGGATGTGGCTCAGTGATTAAGTGCCCCTGGATTCACTCCCCAGTACTACTGAGAGCCATAGCCCAGTAGGAATGACTCATGGCATTTTTGGTTGAAAGGTGAGGACAGCAAGCCATTGAGATGATAATGATTGTGTTAAGATGTGCATTCAATTGGATATTAGACCCCTGCTGTCCACCTAGGCCTGCTACTTTGGAGCTCTCACGGGATTCCCGGAGAGTTCCCATTGGTTGGGGAAGTGCGGTAGGAGGGATTTCCGGAGGAGGGATTTCCGGTTGGTGTGGTGTGTCCCGGGAGAACGCTTGGCGTTCTCGGGAGTTTTGGAAATAAAGTTTGTTCCTGCTTGAGTGGCTCGTGATTTAGTGCCCAGCCAGACTGTGGCACAGTACCAAAACAAACAAACCAAAACCAATAAGAATAGGTCCTGGGAAAATAACTACTTTCTTCTTTATCTACTTTCTTCAACTTTCCAGATCTTTCCTAACCCTTTCCTAACTTAATGAAACTCTCACTACATTTTTTGGGTTAAAAAATTCCTATAAGTATGTGGGAGAGGGATTCATTTTATTACAAGTGCCCCAAAGAGGTTGAATAAAAATACATTAAGGTATCATAAGGCATATTTTAGTTTAAAAACTGAACCACTTGTAGTCAGAATTTTTCAAAGAAAGAATACCTCAATAGAAGAAATAGTGAGTTCGCTGTCCCTAGAGATGCAAACACAAGTCTGGAAACACTAATATTTAATCATTGTTGGCTAATATATCACTTCATACTGTGGTCTTTTCAATCTGCTTAAGGGACCTTATGTTATAAATACATTTAATAAAATATTTGTTTAATGAACACATGAAACATTCAGAAGAGGAAAGTAGCCTACAGATAATATTTGGTTTCAATACCAGCGTTTTATGAAGTGAGCGTGGACAGCAAAGACTGGACTGAAAGCTGTCATGGTCATTGGTTTACCCAAGTCGCAGCTGACCCCTGGCTATTGACACTGATGACCCAGTAAGTGGTCCCTCCAGGATGTGCTATTGGAGCATGACCTCCTCTCATATACTCTAGTCTCTGCTTCCATTCCAAGCTCAGGTAAGTGTTCCTCTTTTTTTTCTTTCCTCCCTAAACCAGGACTTCTGTTATCTAAACTGAAAGCTCCGAGAAAGCAGGAAAAATGTCTCTTTAAAATTTATTTAAATTACTTTTTTAGTTGTAGTTGACACAATACTTTTATTTTATTTATTTTTATGTGGTGCTGAGGATCAAACCCAGGGCATTGCACGTGCTAGGCGAGCGCTCTACTGTTTAGCCACAACCCCAACCCCAAAATGTCTCTTTTTTATCTGTTCAGATTGTATACGATGCTTGATTCGATAGACACAAAGCAAATATCCATTGACTCTATCAGTTTGGCAGGTATATTCAGTAAGTTTTTGTTTTCTTATCTAAATATGGTCAAAAGGACCACCTTTGATTTCACATATAAACCATGGCAGAATTTACTTTAAGGGTTGTTAATTATTTTGTTATCCCTTGCTAAAATCATGCTTTCCTTTTTGTCAGTAGAAACCAAGACCCAAGGCTTCAGCATGGAGATGTTTTTTTAATTAGAGTAAAAAAAAAAAGTTTGATTTTTCTTTTCAGGAAAGAAAATTGTCAATTTTTTGTCAAATGAAAAGCATATAAGTTAAATTTACAAGATAGGGGACCAGACAAATTTGAAATATTACCTCCTCCTTTTCCAAGATAAACTCTACATGACATTGACCTGTGGTCCTACCATACAACTTTTATCCATATTAATAGGGTTGGGTCACAAAATAATTATAATAAATTAAATGTTCTGCTATCTTTCCCCAAATGTTCTTCACATAGTTGGAAATAGTGATGAAGAGGACATTTTAATGCTGAAAGCAGCTTTCAGGGAAAAAACTGGATAGGCTTCATTTGTTTTTGTGGGTTTTTAAAAAAAAATTTTTTGTAGTTGTAGATGGACAATACTTTTATTTTATTTGTTTATTTTTATGTGGTGCTAAGGATTGAACCCAGTGCCTCACAGGTGCTAGTCAAGCGCTCTGCCACTGAGCTAAAAAGCCCAGCCCTTCATTTGTTTTTGTTCTTACATATATTAAAGCATCCTAATTACATTTTTGTAGCTTCTCAGAAGTTGGGCATAATATAACCTAGCACATACAACCTCAAGAAAAAAATTATTGAAGTGCATAATCAATATAGAAGAATCACTATTTTACTTCAAGAAAGCATAACTAAATATATTACTAAGACAAAAACAAAAACCCCTCAGATATTGTGATAATGAATGGCTCAGTAGGAATATAGAACAAAATGCAAAGTAAGAAGTTTGGGAGAAACGGTCACATGATCATTAATAAAATGGGGGAAAAAGAAAAAAGCAACAACATTATTCACAAAGTCAACTTGGGAACATATTAAAAATACAAATTTAGCCAGGCAGGCACAATGGCACAGGTCTTAATCCCAGTGGCTTCAGATCTGAGGCAGGAGGATGGCAAGTGCAAAGCCAGCCTCAGCAACAGTGAGGCTCTAAGCAACTCAGTGAGACCTTGTTTCTAAATAAAATACAAAATAGGGCTGGGGATGCGGCTCCCGTGGTTGAGTGCCCCTGAGTTAAATCCCCAGTACCAAAAAAAAAAAAACCTTTCTAGCCCACACGTTTGTATATTCTAATTCAATAGATATGATATGGTAGTCGAAAAAATATATAATTTAAAAATGTCATCCAGAATTCTGATGCTTAACCAAGTTTGGGAACCCTAAACAACACAATGGAGATAAGCAGACAGTACAGAGCAGATTTTGTCCTCAAGAATCTCACAATCCAATGGGTAGACTTGACAGACCCTGATGATTGACTAGCAAGCAGTGTTATTTCTCCT